TGGTTCTTACAAAGTGTGTTTCTCTGGATGGAGCAGACTGGCACTTTATTTGTTTACAACAATGCCAACAGCATGCTGGGTAACACTATAGACTCTTCCAGTCTTGCCATGGTACCATTTGTAGGGTGTTCCTTTTTAAACAGTGCCATTCCCCTGATGTCTATAATATCACCTTTCTTGCAGATTGGCATGTATATAGCCAAAGGAACCACCCCATGTTTTCTAAAAGACCTAGAGAACATATAGCAGACGCCTCTCCCCTCTGTGTTGGTTACTTTGGCAAATTATTGGAAGATGGTGGGTCTGGCCAAAAGGCAAAAATTATTTATTCTTAACTATTAAAAATTCATGACCAAAGTATCTGATTCCAGATATTATTGATCTACCTCATCTAGGTTTTAGATTCTAGTATTTGATTTTGTGAGTACCATATAATATTGAATAAAATTTTAGAATTCAAAACACCTGAAATTTCACCACATATGTATACATATATTATGCAGAAACACATATCATTTCTCATTTTTCTTTTGATATCACATTATGTTAGATACTTTCTAAATAACATCATTCTTTAAAGCAGTGAAAATAATATTACATTGGGATAGTGATACTAATTAACTTAGTCATTCCCCCACTTTTGGACTTCTTGGGTATTTATCATTTCCCCTATAGTTATAAATATCATAACTCATATCTTTGAAATAAACAATTCATTGAATATTGATGTAATTGTACTATATTTTATCTATTTAGAAAATATTTATTCTATTTACAAAATATGCATTTCATTCTTTCTTAAAATGTTCTAATCTTGGATACAATTTTTGTGCTGGTCTCTCCGATTAGTTTGCTTTCTCATTTTCAGACTTGTAGGACAATCCTCCTTCAACCACACCACTGTAAGGGGCCATGAAGTTAATCTTGTTGGCATATTCTTTTGGTTCCTATATTTGGGCTGATCTCCCTATCACCCTATTCTCAGGGGGTACTTTCAAACATCAACAATACAGCAGGGAAGAAAATTGTAAAGGGTAGAGATCAGGGTTCTTTAAAGCATGGCCTACAGGTCCCTGTAACAGAATAAGCTGGAGTACTTGTTAAAAGTGAAAAATCACTGATCCTTCAAATTACTCAGATACTGAGGTGTAGGGCCCAAGAGAATGAAATTTAAACAAGGACTCAAGGTAACTTTTATGCATGCTAATGTTTAGAAAAACAGGCTTTCATATACTATGATATCAATGAATTTGCAACCTAGATTTAAAATTTAGTCCAATTTAAGGTACATTCTAGATTTAAGATACATTTTATTTTATTTCTTTATAAAATTTGTATATATATTTAATCTATGTCACTAATAGGATTCCCCTTCCCTTCTCCCCCAACCCTCCTCCACTAAAGTGCATTGTTTTTAGAAAGTAATTGTTGAAATTCTGTTTTGCACTTAGAAACTGTTCACGTATATCAGTTGTTTAATTTTTTAACCAAATCTATGCTCTGATTAATAGCTTAGTCTTGAACATTACACAAAATTATTTATATGATTTAAAGTGATTTCCCTCTTCTTTTTTCTTAAATTACAATGCTTGCCTGGTGTCTTTAGGACTTTGTTAATAGATTTCTATAGTATTTGATGGAAAGCCATCTATATAATAACATAATACATGTTCACTAAAATTCTACTATGTGTCAGGTGACAAAGACTCTTCTGGACCAAATCTATGTTAGGCTCCTCTAAATCCTCTTCTCAACTAGGCTCTGACCTTGGGTTCTCTCTTTGGCCTGCTTAGTCCAGTTCTAGCAAGAATTCTGCTGAATTAGTTTAGGGAAAATCCTCTTTCCTTGGTATCTGATTGTCCTTGATATTAGATCAAATTCCTCATCCTCCATCCTCCATATCTTATCACCCTGGCCTGCCTTCAGTAAGAATCTTGTTGAATCAGTATAGTGAGAATTCCCCTAGGCCCAGTAATTTTCCATCCACTGATCTCCACCCTGACCCTTGGTTCTAAATCTCTACTTGTCCTTGTTGTATTAGGAGTTGAGTCCTATCTCTCTCCCCTTCTGCAAAACTCCACTGCCATAGTCCCTCTTGAATAAAGTCTTCCTTACTTTACAAGTATCATGAAATTTTTTTCTTTAACACAGGCATTGTGCTACATTTTAAAGATAGAATTATGGGAGGAGTAGTCCTTATACTTGAGAAAGTAGCCCTCTAGAATGGAAGTTTATCTCATCAGACATATTTACAAAGCAATATAATCAAATCTAAAGCAGAAACATGCACCAAGCCACAGAAAAATTATAACTTGGAAGGACAATGAAGAATTCCTTCCTATAGCTATATCTACATGGCTGAATTTAACTGAATACAAAAACTAGAAATGCCTAATTTGAAATAGCTTACTCATGCCAGAAAGCTAGCTTTATATAACATCAAGTATGGCCTGTTATAATATCAGGATCTATAGAATACTCATATCTCAATTTTAGAAACAAAAATATCTTTGATTTACTCTGCCTATTTTCATTTCAATGGTATTATTATTAGAAAAGTCTTTGCCTATTATCTCTTTGTATAATAGAGAATAGTAGACATATACAGATACACAGACACACATAAATACACACTTAGGTGTACACACACTCTTATCTCATAAAAATGCATTATCACAGTGGATGTTACCAGAGGAAAGCCCATATTCTTAATCATTTTCATTACCAAGTAAATACTAAAGAAATTTCTAGTGGTTAAGTGTCCAGAGTATTCTGGGCAGTCACGATCTCTTTTGTAATACATTATATTAAAAACCTAAGGCAATGAGAAAACACTACCCACCTATTAGAATAACTACCTTTCAAAACATTGACAATACCAAATTCTGGTAAGGATGTAAAGCAACAGGAACTCTCATTCATTGGGAATGCAAAATAATACAGCCATTTTGAAAGGCAATGTGGAGGTTTCTTACAAAACTAAAGGTACTCATACCAATATGATCCAGTAACCACACTCCTTGACATATACCCAAATGAGCTGAAAACATGTCCATGCAAAAGTCTGCAGAAAAATGTTTAGAGGAGCTCCTTTTTTCATTACCATCAAACTTGGAAGAAACCAAGATGTCCTTCAATAACAAATTGATAAACTATTGTACATTCATACAATGGAATATTATTCAGCAATAAAAAGAAATGAGTTATCTAGCCACAAAAAGACATCCAAGAAACTTAAAAGTTAAGTGAAATATTTCTAAGTGGAAGAAGCCAGTCTGAAATGGCTATCTTCTGTATGATTGCAATTACATGGCATCCTTAAAAAGGCAAAATTCTGGAGGTAGTAAAAGGATCAGAGGTTGCCAGGGTTTCAGTGAGGGGAGGGAAGGGCAAATAGGGAAAGCACACAAAATTTGGGGAGTGGTCAAAATATTCCGTATTTTCCGTATAATGCACTATACAGTACTATATGATATAATATATGACACAGCAACAACGGAAATATGTCATTATACATTTTTTAAAACCCAAAGAATGTACAATACAAAGAGTAAGCTCATTGTAATGGACTTTAATTAATAATAATGTACCTACCAATACTGGCTCATTAATTTTAACAAATGTACCGTACTAATACAAGATGTTAATAATAGGGGGAATTATGTGTGTTTTGGGGGAGGATATGTAAGGATTCTTTATAGTTTTCAATTAATTGTTCTATAAACCTAAACCTGCTCTTAAAAAATTGTTAACTAAAATTAAAAAAAAAAAAAAAAAGCAAAACCTAAGACACCAAACCAAACCAAAACAAGACAAAAACCCTGGTAAAATAAGACAACTTCTAGAATTATGACCAAAGGGTATTTTATGCCAGTCATTCATGGCATAGAAATGCTCATCCCATCTCTGTTGTTACCATTTATTCTTAAGGTCATAATTATGTTGGTACCTGTGACGATATTGGAATAAGGCACAGAAGAAATAACCTTAGAATATCCAGGTCCCATTATTAGCCTGAAACCTATAATTCTGCAATATTCAGTCTGGGTTTGAATCAGGCCCTAAATCTGTTGAACACTAACTTGTTTTTTTAAATGATAACTAAGACAACTAACAGGACTCACCCAACCTAGACCAAATATTGAAGTGAGACCTAAGCTAAGCACACCTCAGACTATGGGGAGTCCTCGTGACTGTTAGGGCAGATTTTTGTCTTATGTCAACTTCCCCAGAGCCCCAGGACAACAAGGACCCTTGTCAGAATTGAAATGTGGATTCTCTAGGAGAGAGCTTCTTGATCATTGTACTAATAGAAAGGATGGAGAAAATATTTAAGGCTCAATTTTCTAGATACAAAATCAGGGATATTGTTCAATCTTAAATCAAATTAACTTCATGTGAAAATTTGGGACACAAAGTGTTTTTTTTTTTTTTCTCTAAGAAAAACTCCTCTAAACCCAGGCTCCAATCATTGAGATGCAGACAAAGCTGGAGACACTTTAGTGGTTTCAAAAAGGAAAGCTATTGCTCCCCAGCAGAGTTCCCCCAAATAACTGTTTATAGATGTACTAAGATTCAAACCCTTCAGCCCTGGAGCTGCTTTGGATCTGATTACCAGAGCCAGTGGTCTCTGGTAATAAGCAGCCTCTGTACTGTATCACAGGAAGATTGTCCTTTTCCATGTGGGCATGATAAGAAAAAGGCTGAGAAGCACCCAACAAGAGAATCTCTGCTAAAGATGTTTTAATCCAAAATGGTCAGATTGGTGCTTTGTAATTCCCATTGTTTCTACATATCATCCTATTTCAAACATAATGATAATATCTGCCAAGGAATTATTTCTGAACATATTTCACATGAAATGTATAAGGCACGAGCTACTACAAAGCTATAAACAAATTCAGAGCATCCTAGTACTTCTGATAATACCACCTAATTTTACCTCACCATTTCATCAATTTTCAAAGACTACAAAACCCAAAGTAGGAATTGGCTCTTACCCTATAATGAAAACCTCTGCACCTTGTCTCAGGGTAAAGTGTCAGAGTCTTCACACAATCCCTCCACTCCGGGACTGAGCAGTTCTTGAAGTGTCTCTACTGGGTCTAAGGGGAAAGAAAAATACAAAAATAACCTTGGTACACTTCAGCTAACATTAACATTCTTTTTCAAGTTGTTCAGATTCTTTTTTTGCCATTTCATGAAATTGCTACATATCTTGCATCAAACCATCTTGTACAAAATAATCAGCATTTCCAGAACACTTAACTTGAAGAAGGAATTTTCTTCCTTTAAATCATTTTTAATTTCCCCCTCAACCACCTTTGAATGAATGTCTTTCCTTGTTATAACATCATATTAACTATTTTTCATGATTATTTACTTCCTTTCCCTAGATCACAATTTTATTCTTTGTTCTCAGTAATAGCAAAACTTTCTGCAAAATCAGTTGAAAATTGTTAGGCTTAGCCAGTCCTGTCTGTGGCTTTGCTAAGACTGTTTTATTGCTCTACTCTGCTATGAAATAAACTAACACATTTTGGTCCCTAATCTCCTATGCCTAATTTTTTTTCTGACCTAAAAATCTCTACCAGAGTCCTAAGTACCCCATCAAGTCTATAAAAATACCTAACTAAGCCAGTGAAAAAGTGTGCTCTGCCAGCATGTTCTATAAGATAGCCTTCCAACACCACAAAGTTTCAGGCATTCTTTTTTTTTTTTTTGGAACTAGCAAAGAAAATAAGCCGGCTCTGGCAGTTGATCATGGACTGCTCTAATTCAATGAATCCATTTTCTACAGGCTTTAGTTGGCAAGCCTCTTTCCATTGCCTGCAAACTGACTACAGTTCTTTGCAAACCTCCTTTGCAATTCTACCCAAACACCACCCTCTACACCACAAAGAGTTATATGTTACTGAAAATACATTTTAAAAAGACTTTTAGTGGAAATATCTAATTTTGGAGCTCTTTCTTAACCTCTCCAATTTGTTACACATACGTATGTTTACCCATAGAACTGTCTTGAGGATAAGTGAAACCAATGGCGTAGTGCTGTGTAAAGCTCAGAGAAGTCAGGAAGACAAGGCTGTGTTCCCAGATCTAAAATATGCCCCTCTTGATCGGCTTGATTTGTCAAATGACCTGTGTATGGAGGCGCACAGTATGATGATATAAGTTTGATGGTACTTCTGAACTCTACTTCTAGGAATCTTATTCTATCTTTGAAATTCTTTTTTTTTTAAAGATTTTATTTATTTATTTGAGAGAGAGTGAGTGAGAGCACAGAAGGAGAGGGAGAAGTAGACTCCCCGCTGAGCAGGGAACCTGATGCTGATCCCAGGACCCCAAGATCATGACCTGAGCCAAAGGCAGATGTTTAACTGACTGAGCCACCCAAGCACCCCTATCTTTGAAATTCTTAAGAGCTAATGGTGAAAGAATGGGGAAGGCAGGACAATATATCCTCCAAGGAGAGGCATACAGCAGGTTTTGAAATAACACAGTCCTTTCTTATTAATCTTATTACAGAGAAAACAAGTACATACTTTATTTGGTTACGGTTATATTTATGTGAAGTTTTAGAAGAGACTATTGTGATAATCAGAACAGTGTTGTGAGAGGTTAATTGGAAAGTGGCATGAGGGCACTTTCTGGAATAATGGAAAAATACTATATCTTTTTTTTTTTAAGATTTTATTATTAGAGAGAGAGAGAGGAAGAGCAGAGGGAAAGGGACAAGCAGACTCTGTGCTGAGCACAGAGCCCAAAGTGGGACTCACTCTCACAACCTTGAGATCATGACCTGAGCCGAAACCAAGAGTTGGATGCTCAACCGACTGAGCCACCCAGGTGCTTCAAAAATTCTATATCTTGATTCGGACAGTGATTAAATAAGGAGACCCACTTGAAAAAACTCTATGGAACTATGCCCATAAAATCTACATTTTATTTTAAGTAAATTCTATTGTAAGTAAATACCTTAATAAAAAATAAAAAACAAAGGGACTCAAAGAGACCTCTCAGTTTGGAGTGATTTTCAGAAATCACCTAGTTTTTATGAAGGAGTCTTTACCTCCTTCCTGGCCAGTGAAAAACAATTCTTCATTCTTCATTTATGTATCCACTTAACAAAGATTTATTAAGCACAAATATATCCAGAGTTAACACAGTGGCAGCATGCTAGAAAAAAAAAAAATGATGGTTAGCAAAAGAGACACAGCCTCTAGCATTGAGCTTAAAGTCTGTTGGAGGAAAATAGTCAATTGAAATGGACAAAAACAACGAGCTATGGCTATAGCACTGAGAGAAGGCCCATGTTTTAACTAAGGGCTTGCATCAAAACAGAATGAACTATTTTATGCTAAACCGCAAGCTAAGCTGAGCTGAAAATACTGGTGTTCACTGAATCGTTAAAAGCTGTTAGAGTGATCAGACTAAAGCAAATTAAATAATGTTTTTCTATTAAACCAAGCCTAAATATTCTCTAAATCAACTGAATCAAAACATCAAAATACTTTTCATGTCAAATTTCATTTGGACATTGAAGTCTTTTTTAAAACAGAATTTAGGTCTTCCACACCCTACGGCAGCTTATAAATACAGCTGTCCATGAGGACAACATGGTGTTAAATGACCCTCTTTCCCATGAGCAAATTCCAGCTGGGAAGACAGGTGCATCTATTTCTGGTGACTCTGCTGCCAGTGAGGGATTTGCAGGCTCGCCCAACAACATTATGCATCCTCACAATAAATCCAAGCTTGTGACAGGTACAGTGTTTGATATACAAACAAAGTACAACCATGAATGGACCAGCATTCCAATATAAAGTACTTTTAGGTCTATACAACTCCCTCATCACCACCCCAAAACACTGTTAAATGATGTCCCTCTGTGGGCATTCAAATTCTTAAAGCACATGAAAATTTTCCTTCATCTAACCGTTATAAAAAAAATTATCTTGTTCCTTTTTATGGCTTTCTAAACTATTTGTCCAAAATCCTTTCCAAAATGGGAGGAGTCATTTATAAGATCAAAAAGATGAAAGAATATAATTTAAAAACAGATAAATAAAACATGAACCATATAATTATTGAATTTCCAAGCCTTTTAAAGAGGACTATGCTGTTGTTTATTTTGTGAAACTATCTAGAAGAAAACCAACATGATTTTTTTAAAGATTGCTCTAAGGGGAAACATGCTAGAAATAGTGAGTAATTCAAAAAACAGCCTTGGAATGAGAAGCATACTTTAAACCAAGACCATTATGGATAATGAATGCTTTCTATTTAATCAAACAGACATCCACAACATTGCCCCTTACTGTTTTCTACTGTCTTTCCTAGTCTCTGACCAGACAATTTAGGGTTTGGGTTGCATTCTCCTGGCAGGACCGAAAATGGCCACTAAAATTCTAAAGTAACTGGAACTCTAATTCTCTCAAACATGAGAACCATTCCATGTAACCACAGAAAATACTGTCAGATTGTAGTTCAAACTGTCAAATGACACTTTTATTACTTTCTAACTCTGGTCAGTGACAAATTCAAAAGAAATCCTCTATTTCTAATTAGGAGTTACAGTTCCTGTTTATGTAGTTTTAACATATTTAATATTTAAGAAATGGGTATATTTTGGGACGCCTGGGTGGCTCAGTCGGTTAAGCGTCTGCCTTCGGCTCAGGTCATGATTCCAGGGTCCTGGGATTGAGCCCTGTGTCAGGCTCCCTGCTCAGCGGAGAGCCCACTTCTCCCTCTCCCTCTGCCTGCCGCTCCCCCTGCTTGTGCTCTCTCTCTCTCTGTCAAATAAATAAATAAAATCTTCAAAAAAAAAAAAAAAAGAAATGGGTGTATTTTAACGAAGTAATACATTTTTTAAATCCCATGTTTTATTTTTATTCCCCAACCAAATAGCTGATGATTAGAATAGTTAACACAACGGATCATTTTCCTACCATTTTACTGTAATTTTTCCTTCTCTAATTTACACGCTACCAATCTCACTTTAGCTTGGTTTCTGTTCTTTCTTTCTGCCAATGTAAATATCAGCTCCCTGTGTTCCCAGTTCCTTAGTCATTCTTTGATATTCACTGGTATTTTAAGAAATACTTGAAGGAAAAAAGGTGGTGTTGGGTTTGTAAGATTTGAGGAACCTTATAAATCCTGGCGCTTAAGACTTTCTCAGTCTCAATCCATTAGATACATAATTGTGGTGTAAAGTTCTAGATGATTTTTAATGTTTTTTTATATTGTCACAGCTTTCTTCCCCACTAACACTCAAAGAGATGTCACATCATGACATTCAGTCTGCAAGCTTATATCCGATGATAAGACTTCCCTGTGTTCTTACAGCAGTGTGCTTCTCCCTCTGCCCCTCCCCCCACCGCTTGTGCGCGCACACACGCGCACTCTCTCTCAAGATAAATAAAATCATAAAAAAAGAGAGAGAGAAAAAGCCAATGATGACACTGTACCAAGAGAGTTTCCACAAGCAAAACATCAGAAGAATGGTCACTTTACTGCACACCATATTGTCATACTGGATACAAGAAATCTGTATGTAGCAAGCCAATGCCATATTCACATAGTGAACAAATCTCTCATTTTAACAAAATATTTCCTGCTACATTAAAAACCAATATTGTGAAATTGAATTTCTCACATTTGTAGATTTGTTTGTATTTTATTTGTAATTATGTTTTTTAAGAGATATAAGCATAAGGCATTTATGCCTGGTTTTATGTTTGCATATTTTTAAGTAACAATGTAATAAAAACGATTTAAAACCTGGAGCTCAAAGAGAAGATTTTTGTCCTTGTTTTTGCTTTTCCCTTAGAAAGATACTATATATTATGCAAGTCTAAGAAAAAGTGACCTAAAAGATTGTGGAAAATGTGTATTTCAAATTTTGCATTTGTGGAAATGTATTGTCTAAAAGATAAAGCTCTGGTGTCCTGAATGAGTTTATTTAAATTTCATGATCATCTTTAATTCATCCTGACTTCCCATCAGATGATGTACTAAAAGAATAAAGAAGGCTTAAAATAAATGTCATTGTTTAAAAACAAAAAAACCCTAGTCCTACTGGAGCTTTGAAAGCTCCATTGTATA